CTAAGTGGTCTCCATTGACTTTATAATTTTGATTTTGAATTTAAACCTTCAAAAATAAGCTATTTTGGCTACTTCCGGTCACTTCCGGTTTGACCGGAAGTAATGTCAACGGACAGAAAATGAAGTTTTATGCTTCCAGATACATATGTTACCCAAAAATATGTCAAGAACAGCAAAAATATGCATATTCTGACGACTTCCGGTATGACCGGAAGTGACGTCGCCTGACGCATTTTGACGACTTCAACAGATTAATCTTGACATTTTGAACAACTTTGCTTTTTAGACGTATAACAAATTCTCAATACTTTTTGAGATATAAATGAAAAACTTTCGGCCCCTCTAGGCCCTTTATTTTAGGGGCCAACCCTATTTACGAGATAACATTTGAAAGATCATGTAATTCTGCACTTCTTTTGTTCTATATGTCTTAACAAAATATTTGTATGTGAAAAGATATCGAAGAAAAAGTGTTAGAAATTTTAAAATTCTCGACATGCCCATTTTTGGACCATGGCAAGCGTCGGCGTGCAGCACTTCCGGTAAAAATAAAATGCGTATGTCACATCTACAGACATTGCTCTATCATTGCTCAAAAAACTCAAGTTTCTATCTTAAGCCGTTTTTGAGAAAACTCGTGGACAAACTGACCCCCTGAAAATCACTAAATCGCAAAAATCTCAAAACCGGAAGTGACGTCATCAAAACAAAAAATTATATATCAGCTTTGTTTGATGCTTTATCAGTCCTGAAAGTTTCATGAAAATCGAGCGAGCCGTTTCTGAGAAATCGTGTACACAAAATCGGTAAGAAAAAAAACAATAAAAATAATAAAAATAGTGGAAAAGAAACCTAAGAATAACAAGAAGGTCTTCCGCTGAAGACGGAAGACCTTAACAATAAGGTCTTCCGCTGAAGACGGAAGACCTTAACTAGATGAGATCTCGTTGCGAGCAACGAGTAGGTCTTCCGTTGAATTTATCGATAAGATGAGGTGAGATTTTGACTGAGATATTCGTAATAAGGTAATGAAATTAAGTTTTCCATCATTAAATTTAATTTTTCTGATTTATATCACAATATTTTGAGCATCTTAAGTTCAATATGGCTTATAATTAAAATAATCCTCCTTTTTGAGATGAAAGGATCTAAAATATAGAAGTTTTGGCCCCTTGCGACCCCTTATTACGCAACAGCAACATGTAATCAAAATTCTATAAAACGTTGTTGCAAAGCATTAAGATGAATATCTTTGCTTCAGTAATGTATTACAAAATATTTATCATTCATGAGCTAAAGATGAAAGACTTCTGGCCCCTCTGGGCCCCTAATTTGAGGAGTCAGTCCCTTTTTCTTGATTGTAAATGAAAAGTCTTGTGAAATCAAAGACTTTTTTTTTAACTTCTATTCAGATATTTCTTTTCGTTGTGGAGATATGCTGAATGGAAATATTTAGGGGCTACCCTCCAAGTCCTTAATGGGGCCGTTTCACAAAAATTTGAAGTATGCATATTGTTTAAAACATTATTCTGTCCATCTTTTGTTCAATATTTTTTATCAAAATATTCGCCCTTTTCGAGATATAAAACCTCAAAGATTTAGCATTCTGACCCCTTGTGACCCCTAATTACGTAGCATATGATTAAAATTGTATCATATTTTGTTGCAAATTGTTAAGATAAATACTTTTGTTTCAGTAATGTATAACAAAATATTGATCATTAGAGAGCTATAGATAAAAGACTTTTGGCCCCTCTGAGCCCCTAATTTGAGGGGTCAGCCCTATTTTTTTGATATCAAATGAAAGGTCTTGTGATGTTGCACATTTTTCCTTCAATATGCTTTAACAAATTATGTACAGGTGTGAAGATATGAAACAAAAGGTGTCAAATTTTGCGATATATTTCTGAGACATTTTTTCGGGCCTTACCGTGCTCCGGCGCCTTTTGCGCTAGAAAGATTTGGAGACCCAATTACAACTCCTTCTTCTATTTTCACTGAAAATCTTAAGTCGATATCTTATGTCGTTTCGGAGGAGTTTCCAGGACAAGCCGACCCTCTGAAAATCAGAAAATCGTCCATATCTCATGACCGGAAGTGTCGTCATCAATATAAAAAATTTCCAATAAGGTTCAGATCAATATCTATTAGATCTGAAAGTTTCAATAAAATCGACCGAGCCGTTTCCGAGAACTCGCGTGCACAAAAATCGGTAAGAAAAAAATAATAACTAGAGCAAAGCTCGTTGCAAAGCAACGAGTGGGTCTTCCTTCTTAGCGATAAGCAGAAAGTGAAATGTTTCAATTGTCAACTTTGCTACCATTCTTTATTTCTTTGACTCAAATAGCAAAAACCTTTCCGGGTTAGAATAATTCCTCAGTACCCCCTTGCTTGTTGTAAAAGGCGACTAAATGGGGCGGTCCTTCGGATGAGACCGTATAAACCGAGGCCCCGTGTCACAGCAGGTGTTGCACAATAAAGATCCCTCCCTGCTCAAAGGTCATAAGTGCCAAGCATATAGGCCTAAATTTGCAGCCCTTCACCGGCCAATGGTGACGTCTCCATATAAGTGAAATATTCTGGAGAGGGACGTTAAACAGTAAACAATCAATCAATCAATTATACTGTAAAAATACAGATATTTACACACATTTATAACCTTAACTATTAGAACTGGTATGTCTTCTCTTGGAAACGGAAGACCTCAATACAGATGTTAACATGCAAGATCTGACACATACTTAAAAAGAATATTTATTCCAAACTAAAAAAGGCCATACCAATTTCTAAAATAGTTCTTCGGATTTTCAAAAATAAAAAGCCGCTTTTATTTATTACAAATGCAAATTATAATATTAAAAAAAAAATGTCCGCGCGCGCTTAAAAAAATCCATATATATTTTTTTCTAAAGTTTATTTCAAAATGCACCAAACACACAAGAACTTTGAAACTTGTATGACAGATTTTTGCGGGATTTATAGTGAGATAGAAGCAGTTTGTGAAGTTTTGCACCATGCAGTCTGTTTAACTGTTCATATGTACCAGGGGTGTGCAATTAGCATCCCCTGACGCCCAGGGCTAACATTTTTGGGGATCGGGATAGTGGTTTTCTACAAGGATGTAGCCCGTCGGGCTAGTAAAAAATACTACTACACACGCAATACATGAAAAGCACAACCGGTATTTTAACTCGTTTTTGGCTATAAAATTCCCAACCAGTTTATATTTTCCAGGCAACAATACTCCTACTATCAATAAATCTCCATAATCTTATCCGTTTTGCAGAACTACCTGACTTATTTACTTCCAAAAACGATCGTTTTTTCTTAATCCGAATTTCCTCTATTCCTCCGTTTATGGTAAATACATGCAGCTATATCTCTAAATTATTTACGATCACTCAATCAACTGAAAGATAAGTGTTTGGTGACTCACATAAAATACATTTCTTTTGTTTTGAATGATTTAAGATGAAAACAAAATGAATTTAATTTCATTCTAAATGAGCTAGTGCAGTGATCAGAGAAAGGGAAGATAATTTATTGAAGTTCATTTTAATTTTATTTCATAATATTTAAACATGACTGAATTTGATATTGAGAATTAAAACTTTGACTTTAAAAAGAATGACCTTAGGGCTCAGTACCCTGACTTTTATCAGCAATTAATTTCTTTTTCAACATTATTTTATAGTTCAATTATTTTAGTTTTTGCCCCTGTATTTGGGCTAGTAACTTTGCATTTGCCACTAGCCTGTGGGCTAGTACTTGATATTTTTAATTGCACAACACTGTGTACTATAGTTAAAAACAATGGGTACAAAGTTGTTTCATACACAGCAATAGAAATGGAAGCAGAGGAGATGTTTGAAAACATTAAATTTATGAAAGTAAAGTCTTTGAAATTTGACACATTTTTACTTATTAAAAAAAAATCCCCAAAAAGTTAAGAATGATAAGTTCATGTGGTATGCAAATGATATCTATTAGTGATGGGGAATCGGAAAAAAATCATAATCGATTATCGGTAATAATCGGCTGGGCATAATCGATTAATAATCGATTATAATCGAAATTTTGAACTTTAATGAAATTAATACAGAAAAGTTAAAACTTATTAAGATTTCTGTCAGACTTTTACAAAAGAAACATTTACTTACATAAAATATTCAAAAATGTTAATTGAAATTTCTTTTTAAAAAACTGGAAAATAATATTTTGTTTACTTTAAACAATATAGGACTATTGAAACAGAATGAGTATATTTATTTTTTGTAAAGTCCATGCAATGGGTATTTTACTGATATTAGTCCCACCTTTCATTAATATATCTACATATTTATTTCTTAAAATTAGTTTTAGTTAGTTAAAATTGCAAGTTTTAAAAGTAATTATCCAAAAGTTATACTTGTATTTATGATTATAATTACGTTTAAAGATTGACTAGACTAATTATGTTTTCCTTTACTTGCAATATTACCGTTTCCTGGTATTAGTCTAACCCCATATTTAATCATGGCGGTAAAAGTATCAACAAGACACGGGATCCTTCCATGTTTTCAACATTCATCACTACTTTTATGCTCTTTGCACTTGGATTTGGTATTAAAATTAAAGTATGACAATTTTATTTTTTGTTAGCGATGTCGGCGACATTTATTTTATAATCGATTAGTAGCATCGAAGAGCTTCTAACGACCGACAATCGATTGTCGCCGACAATCGTTCCATCACTAATATCTATCTTTATTTTTTAGGTTCACGCATTTTGAAATAACACTTTATTAAAAAATATATATATGTATATATTATATTCGCTCGCCTCATAATTTTGAAACCCAAAATAAAAAATAATATTAATAAAAAAATTTCGCTCGCTCGCCTCACTTTTTATTTTTGAAAATCCGAAGAACTATTTTACAAATTGGTATGGCCCTAGTGTAAAATTATGCATATAAATTTACTTTTAATGAAGTTCCATCAAATTTGATTTTTATGGAATGAATTTTAAACCATATCATTGGTTTTGTTTTGCAGTAAGAGACTTCAAATTTGCCAGGCCATGGGAGAATGATTATGACTCTGACTCCAGAAAAGATGATGATGGTCTGAGTGATGCAAGGCGTAGACGCGGAAATCTACCAAAGGAAGCTGTCCGTATCCTGAAGACCTGGCTGTATGAGCACCGCTACAATGCATACCCATCAGACCAGGAAAAGGTCTATCTCTCCTCGGCCACTAATCTGACTGTACTGCAAGTGTGTAACTGGTTCATTAATGCTCGTCGTAGAATTTTACCAGAAATGATCAAGAAAGATGGCCAGGATCCTCTCCAATACACCATCACCCGCAAGCATAAGCAGTCCCTGTTAGATCGTGTCACCTTCACCTCAGGTGGTTACAGCACAGAGGGTCCCCTGGAGTCTAAGATGGGGGAGCCGGACGGTTACATGTCGGATTGTGAGGCCTCCTCCAGTGACTTCTCCTCAGAGCCAGAGTCTGCCTCCCCCGACGTCAGCCAGTCCAGAACCAGAGGAGAGAGTTTCTCCCAAGAGAACCTCTCCCCACCCTCCTCTCCGTCCAGCACTCCCCAGAATGCAGACCTCTTCAAATCCTTTTTCATGCTGGTTGATGTTGCGCTGAACCAGATTCCTAAAGAGTCAGGCAGCGAGACAACCGATTCTTCCAACTCGTCAGTGTAGCAAGTCGGACATTTACATGATTTTTTTTTTTTTTGATTGATTTGTATCATTACATGCTCATTCCATGTTCAAATGTAAATATGTACCAACTAACCATTTCAAATCTACATTTTCATTGTACTAAAACTTTGGATGTCACAATGTTAGGACTCAAACTAAAATACCAGCCTGTATTATGAAAATATGTAAATGAAGTAAAAAACTTTAAAAAGGTTGTGCAATAGGCAGATCGGATATGGTGCACATAATATGCCTGCATGTATTGGCTGGAAAAATAACCATCTGTGTTCATTGGTTCTCTAGATTGCACTTGTTTTTGTAGTGAGAAAATAATGCCTGTACATGTATTATATAACCCACTGTTCCTCCTAATATTTGTGGAGATATACATTGTTATGTGGTCTAGTGCCATTATGATGCAATACATATATATATTTTTGCTTTTTCTATTGATATTGTCCATGCACACTAAGTTCACATGTCACAGTAACCTTATAACCATTACAGATAATTTTACTTGTATGCAGTCTTGAAAGATCTTGGGAAAATTCAATACCTGACCACATAAGCCTTGAAGTGATTCATTTGTAAAGATATTTAAGGTTTTAAGGCAGAAGGTTCATAAAGGGGGCAGGGGAAGGAACCCTGACATATCCTGCTATCCCCAAATTGTATCAAGCTTGAATAAAAAGTACCCCAAACCATGTTTTGATAACTAGTTGTGCATGGACAATATATTAACATGTGCTTAGTACATTGTGATTAGAAGTTATTGTTAACTGGGATGGATATTTTGTGATCAAGTATGCTTTTGTTTTATAGATTTTTAACTTGATTAATTTTCTTTATCTAACAAGATATTAATCATGTTTCAATATTATGACAGTTTAACTGTTGCTTTATCTCCCTTGCATTTATATATATTCTATAAATCCTCTCTGAGTACATGTATCCACTGCTGTATATTTTACAAGAATCGAAACATATATTTATGAAATTAAACTGTAAAGTGATCTCTGAATTTTTAAAAGATTGAATTTCTGTAAAAGTTTATTCTTCGGAATGTATACATGATTGAATAAATAGATGTAAATTTAAATTTGTTTTTAGTAATTTAGCCCCCAGAGGCGGGGGACTAGAGGGTAATACAAGTATGGTGCGCTCCAGATTTACCAGAGAGTAGCAGACTTAAAAATTCTGACCCCCTGATTTCAATTTGAAGTCAGAATCTGATGGACATCTAGATAGAAAGTTCTATCATTAAAATGATATTGTCCTATGGACCCGGTTGTGGTGAGGGCTTATCTGTGGACACAGATTATTCTTACTAATGGACATCATTTGAATGGTGTATTGTTTGATAGGAGATGCAATTCAATAAAATTGTGTAAATATTTTGACAGTTTACCTGTTAAAATTTAAATGACAAAATGCCCCAATATAGGCACAAGGCCATAAAGATGAGGAATCTTACGAATTGAAACTTTGAGAACCTCCACTTACTGGTAAATGACATCGTGTTGAAATTGATATACATGTACAAGATTTTTCTTTTGTACACAGTGATGTGTAAAATTATTGATCTATCCGTGGGTATTTTGGCAGTGTAATTTTCCCAGTTTAACTTCTTGAAAAAAAAAAAAACTATTAATTTCGACTAAACTTGTCAGAAGGCATCTATAGGTGAAGGGGATTGACTTGTTTTAAAGAAGAGCCATACCATCATGAAGGGAGATAATCAAGGAAAGGCAAACTTACAGCTTGGTGTTTTTAAAAAATAAAAGCAAAGGTTGACATCAGGCCTGTTCAGCAGAGCGAATGTTCGCAAGCGCTCGCCAAAATTCCTTATAACCCCAATATTAATTTTTGCGAGCGCTCGCGAACGTTCGCTCTGCTGAACAGGCCTATGGAGATATAATGTGTTAAAGCCATGCCCCTTGGTAAAAAGTGGGTCTGTCATAGATTTCCATGAATATAAAGTATGAAATATTTCTAAAGAACAACATGGCTGTGATAATAAAGATTTTGCATACAAATGTAATACATTGTACTTAATACTTCCATTCTTGTGACAAATTAAATATTTAAAACATTGAACTTTTTACTACAAAATATTTATAATCATTCTGCTATCATGCCAGGCTACCCCATTTTTAGCTCACCTGAGCCGAAGGCTCAAGTGAGCTTTCTGATCACATTTTGTCCGGCGTCCGTCTGTCTGTCTGTAAACTTTTCACATTTTCGACTTCTTCTCAAGAACCGCTGGGCCAATTTCAACCAAACTTGCCACAAAGTATCCTTGGGTGAAGGAGATTCAAGTTTGTTCAAATGAAGGGCCATGCCCTCATTCAAGGGGAGATAATTGGGAATTAATGAAAATTTAGTGGCATATTTTAAAAATCTTCTTCTCAAGAACCACTGTGCCAGGAAAGATGAAACTTATGGGGAAACATCCTCAGGTAGTGTAGATTCAAGTTTGTTCAAATCATGACCCCCGGGGGTAGGGCAGGGCCAAAATGGCCGACCAAAGTTTTGCATAGAAATATATAGGAAAATTCTTTAAAAATCTTCTTCTCAAGAATGACAAAGCCATAATTCATCATATTTATATGGGAGCATGCTTAGGTAGTGTAGATTCAAATTTGTTCAAATCATGACCCCACGGGGTAGGGCGGGGCCAAAATGGCCGACCAAAGTTTTACATAGAAATACATGTATATAGGAAAATTCTTTAAAAATCTTCTTCTCAAGAATGACAAAGCCATAATTCATCATATTTATATGGAAGCATGCTCAGGTAGTGTAGATTCAAGTTTGTTCAAATCATGACCCCCGGGGGTAGGGCGGGGCCAAAATGGCCGACCAAACTTTTACATAGAAATATAATAGGAAAACTCTTTAAAAATCTTCTTCTCAAGAATGACAAAGCCATAATTCATCATATTTATATGGAAGCATGTTCAGGTAGTGTAGATTCAAATTTGTTCAAATCATGACCCCCCGGGCTAGGGCGGGGCCAAAATGGCCGACCAAAGTTTTACATAGAAATACATGTATATAGGAAAATTCTTTAAAAATCTTCTTCTCAAGAATGACAAAGCCATAATTCATCATATTTATATGGAATTATGCTCAGGTATTGTAGATTCAAGATTGTTCAAATCATGACCCCCGGGGGTAGGGCGGGGCCAAAATGGCCGACCAAACTTTTACATAGAAATATATAGGAAAATTCTTTAAACATCTTCTTCTCAAGAATGACAAAGCCATAATTCATCATATTTATATGGAAGCATGCTCAAGTAGTGTAGATTCAAATTTGTTCAAATCATGACCCCCAGGGGTAGGGCGGGGCCAAAATGGCCAACCAAAGTTATAAAGATATATATAGGAAAATTCTTTAAAAATCATTTTCTAAAAAATAGCAAATCCATGATTGGTCATGGGACTACTTTTGGATTTAAACTTTACAATAAAAAGCCATTTTCTACTTTTTCCTACCCTTAGTGCTCAGGTGAGAGATGTGGCCCATGGGCCTCTTGTTTCAATACTGTAATTCTACAAAGCACATGTCAAACTCAACTTTTATAAGAAATTGATTCATGATAATTCATGGTGATAAAATGAGACAAGAAGCACATAAAATAAAACCACTGGCATTTTACTTCCCGAAGATATTTTGCTCCTCAAATATCTCTGTCAAACTTATCTTAAATATCTACAGATTTATCATCTGCTTTTATCAAATTATTTTTGAAGATTTTCATACTTTTTGGTTTTGACATTTTCAGTTTTTCACATTTCTAGTGATTTCCAAGTGATAGCTAGGTGATCAAACTTTATTATGAAAGAACTCCGTCATTCTTTATTATAAACATATTCCACATTGATTTCCTATAAATTTTCGTTAAAGAAAAAACATAACTTCATAAAATTTGCAAAATTACAGTTTATCCAGTTCCTTAAAACAGAAACACTGTGGATCATCCTTTGATGTTTTACTTTGATACATGTATGGAAATTAATTTTCATTTAATCTTATAACTAGTAATTGTTCACTACTTTTAGCAGTATACTAAAATGTCTGCAGATGTGAGTAGTTAAACAGGACTAGTGATGAAAATGATTGAAGAAAATATTGCACTGTCAATCTAGCTGTCATTGCTGAACACTTCTAATTTACCCCTCACCCCACCCCACCAACTGCTTCTTTCATTTCATCCCCTTATGATACTGTAAATGTATTATATTTGGCATGTACGACATTTGGTGGAAATTAATTTTTCAACAAGTTAGCGTAGATTAGATTTTGCGCTATCTGAATGTGCTAGAGATAAATGCATGATATACAAGACTTGATTTAGCATACTCTGCTTACCACCAAAATCGCTAAATAGAATACAAGGCAGTAACAGGTTTACAGTGCTCAATACAATACAGAATCCTTAAAGATGACAATGACAACAATCCAAGTCCAATACTACATATGTATATGTATTGGTCAGTAAATCATTAAGTATATTCTCTCATTTTTCTACAACTATAAGCAATCATTAATATACAATATAAATAGAATGAGGTACAACAATGATCAGTTTATTTATAGAAATAACAATTAAGTTTATTGATATAAATAACATTTAACAGTGTTTGTAGGGTTCTAACAGGTATTTAGAGAAGTCCTTTATCTTGTCCACTCCTCTGACTTCCTCCTCCTGAAGTGGGAGCTTTGTCACGTTAAAATCTTCATATAAATCTGCAATCTGAGAAAAAAATAATTATTATATCATTACTTCAGTAAGAATTTGCTTCAATTTCAAACCATATTTAGACCAGAAATCAAGAACCGATACATAGAATTCATTCTTTTTCTTAGTGTAGATTTTGTGTGCCTCAGTTATATTGAAATCAGATCCCTACCCTTGGAGCAAGATTATTAAGATCATTCAAAATTTCAAATGAGATATTTCTTCTTTATTAGTAACTGACAACACTGTTCGATGAAATCAAAAACCGATGCACAGAGTTATGTATCTTAGTGTAGTCTATTTGTGTGCCAAGTTATATTGAAATCGGACCAAAACTGTAGGAGGAGTAGCAATTTGAAAGAATTTCACAGAAATTTCTATTTTCTAGTAACCATGGACAAAACTTCCGCTAAATCAAAAACACACAGAATTATGGTTTGGTCCTGTAAACATTGTGTAATAAATTATATTTTTATGTAACATCATGACTGATAGAGATTTAAAAGCATATAATTTTTTTTTTCTTGCCTTTACAGTACTTGATACAAAAGATACGTTTAACTATGTTCAACATTTTTATGTTACATGTATAAGTAGAGCTAATAAGTCAAACTAATTGCACATTTTTAAACTGTTCATTAACTTGTTTAATTGTGTTCATCATATCATCCAGTTTGAAATCAGACAGCATTCACTATAGGAGGAGTAGCATTTTGAAACGTGAATTTCACAGAAATTTCTATTTTTAGTAACCATGGCAACACCCTTCATCGAAATCAAAAACCGATGCACAGAATTATGTGTCTTAGTGTAGTCTAGTTGTGTGCCAAGTTATATTGAAGTTGGACCAAAACTGTAGGAGGAGTAGCATTTTGAAAGAATTTCACAGAAATTTCTATTTTTAGTAACCATGGCAACACCGTTCATCGAAATCAAAAACTGATGCACAGAATTATGTATCTTAGTGTAGTCTACTTGTGTGCCAAGTTATACTGAAACGGACCAAAAAGTACTGTAGGAGGGGTAGCATTTTGAAAGAATTTCACAGAAATTTCTATTTTTAGTAACGATGGAAACACCTTCATCGAAATCAAAAACCGATGCACAGAATATAATGTATCTTAAAATGAGTCTACTTGTGTGCTAAATTATATTGAAATCGGACCAAAACTGTAGGAGGAGTAGCATTTTGAAAGAATTTCACAGAAATTTCTATTTTTAGTAACCATGGCAACACCCTTCATCGAAATCAAAAACCGATGCACAGAGTTATGTGTCTTAGTATAGTCTACTTGTGTATTAAGTTATATTGAAATCGGACCAAAACTGTAGGAGGAGTAGCCTTTTGAAAAATTGTTTACAGACAGACAGACAGACGGACGGAAGACGGACGCATTACTATCGCATAAGCTCTTCTGGTCTCTGACCAGTAGAGCTAAAAATATTAAATCCTCAGCTCTTAAACTGTACATTAATGATTCTTTTTTTACCTTTTGCTGTTCATACTCTTCCTCCAGAATGTCAGGTAGAGGGGAACTCTCTGGAGAATGAAAAAGAGGCTTCGTCTGCTGCAGTCTCATATAACTCGCTTTTCTTGTCAACGTTTCAGACTCCCCAACAGTTCCTCCATTTCCAAAACTCCTGTCTGCTGCTCTGTGCTGGACTGGAAACAACATCATCCATCTTTACCTTGTTGTCTTCTCCTTCTTGGATGTCATCCATCCTTAGAGAATCTTCTTTTACTGAAACTAGTGACCTTTCTAAACCTTTTTCTTTTCTTTTCTCACTGTCATCCGGTTTTAACTCTTCTTGAATCCTGGTGGTTTTCTCATTAATGCCATCATTTAATTCTCCAATGCCAGTGGTTTTCTCATCTGTAAGATCAGTATCTTCCTCTTCATCTTCCTCTGTCTTGGACTTCTCTCCATCACGTTCTTCCTCTTCACATGGAAGACTGTCTTCCACAGTTTCTGGTATGGCTGTAACCTCATCATCCATTTGATCTTCAAGATCTTCCAGACCAACCTCCATAGTCTCTGGCACCACACTAAAACAAACAGGTTCTTCCATTGGCTGATGCTCAAATTTCTCATCCTTTCTCTTTGAAGTGCTGGTGACTTCTTCAGAACTGTTTGATGGGTCTCCATTACATATATCTTTATCTGACATCTTAACCTTACATTCATCTGATATAATATGAGGATCGTGCAAGTTCTTTTGCCTCAGTTTCCTTGCCAAACCTCTCACTGCCCTCCTGCCTGCATTACTGGCATAACTTCCACTGGAACTAGAATTTTTCTGAGAATCAGAATTTTTCAAAGAGTCTCTCTTATCTCTCATTTTTACATCTATTTGTGAAACATGACTGTCAGAGGGAACATTTGTGTGCTAGCACTTCTTAAACTTGATCTTCTTTTAGGTACAAGCACTTCTTCATTTTCCTCAGTATCAGGCACAGTTGTCACAGTTTCTGAGTTCTTGCCTTCATTGTCCTCATTAGGTCTATCATTACCACTGCCACTACACTGTATATGTTCCACCTTATCTTTTCTATAGTCTTTAACATTACTTGATTTTTCCACATGCTCAGAATCTCCATCCATAGAGTCTTCCACTTCTCCACTAGCTCTTCCACTACTGGACCTCACCTGACTTTCCCTGGTCTCCATCTCATTAACACCATCCAGGTCTCCCAGCTCCAGTTCCAGCAAGCCTTCTTGGTTCTGAACCAGATCCTGGTAACCAGAACCGGATCCCAGCGGTTCAGAGTCCATCAGGAAAACATCTTCTGGGGAACTCTGTTGTTGCTGCTTCTTCAGCTTCATCTCTTGTTTCTTGATGCTTCTCAGTGACAGCTGGGTTGGAATCAAAGCATCACTGGGAGTACTCTTCACATCCCCACTGCTATTTACCTCACTGGGATTAATCTCAGGAATTCTCTGTTTCTTCTCCAAATCTTCCACTATTTCCAAATCCTCTTCACATTTCCCTGTCTGCACCTCTTCTTTTTTTCTACTACCTTGTTTTTCCATCTCTTCATCATCCACTTTGGAGAGCTTATTTCTTGCTTGGGATTCCCTCTTTGGAGCCTCCTCGGGGCTCCCTAGGGAGAAGCATTTCCTTTTAGGTCTCCTCAACTTGTTATAGGTGCTCCTCGTAGACTGTTTACTCTCTGCTATCACTATCGGTGAATCTTCTTCCTCAGGGATAATTTCACAAGACAAAGATTTGCCTTGTAGATCTTCTGCCTCATTTTCCCGTGATTTTAATTCAATGATATCCTTATCCTCTCCTTTGTTCTTGTTCACCGCCTGAAGATTTTCTTTCAAAAAATCTGGTGATTTTTTGTCCACAACCTTTTCAAATGATTTATGGACTGGTGCCAAAATCGAGACACTTTCTTGGGTGCTACATAAACTAGACATAGACTGTTGTGAATCTGTGACAACGTCTGTGTTCTGTTTTTGTTTCCATGTTTCGGTGACTTCTTCATCCCTTACTTTAGCCTCTCCCAAAACTGGAGTCTCCTGAATGACAAAGGGAACAGCCTTCCTATTACCACGCTTTTTCTTCGAGTTTTTCAACTTCCTTACTGTGCAGGCTTGGCTATTTTGTGTCTCACTAGACTGTTGTGTAGACGTCCTTTCAGACTCTTTGAACTTACTTCCAAGAGAAGTTTGGCTATCCTGTGTCTCACTTGATAAATGTGTGGAAATACTTCCAGAACCTTCTTTTCCACTTTGTTGATCCAATACGACCACATCCATGGAATGCAGATCAGTGGAAAACACATCAACAGAAGGTGGAACTATGTTTTCACTCATCTCTTTATCTTTGGTAGATGGCAGATTTGTTAAGTCAGTGCCTTTTTCCTTTTTTTGACTCTCTTCATTCTTGGTAGCCACAGGACTCTTCTTGCAGGTCTTTTCTTTATTGCTCTTCTTTAGTCTACTTTTCCTGATGAGTTTCTTCTCTTGAGGTTGGCTGCTGGCATCTGTTACAGATGCTTCACTGTCAATTGCAATAAGTGGCGTCTCAGGAACCACATTTACAGAGTTGACATCTGCCTCTCTACCCTTAACATCGACCTTCTGACAATTCCCCTCTGCCTCTAACTCCTCCCCTCCAAAAACAGCCAAACTTGATGAATCTTCTAATTCCTGTATTATATATCTTTGTTGTCTGTCCCCTTTGTTTAAATTAACATTGTCATCATCGCGTTTGCATCCTTCCTTAACTTTCTTCCTTGTTGGGTTCTTTGCCATTGCCTCTATTCCCGATTTTCTTTTGTAGTTAGGAACACCTGTGTCTTTTCCGAGGTCTTCACTGTTGGGTACGATGTCTACTTCCATTTCAGTGTCACAATTTGCTGTCCTGTTGTTTTCATTCACAGCAATGTTAGGTATAATATCTTGAGAACTCAGTTTTTCCAGAATTTCTTTGGGTTGAATATCTGGAAGAAAGATGTTACAATTTATAAAATTTGGTAGAACCCAATTTTTTTCTGTTTGCCAAATATAATCAAGGCAATAAGGGTTTTGATGCAGAAAATCATGCTAAGGCCATTTTAAAAACTTTTTACTTGCCCTCTCCTGACTGAAAAAAAATGGCCCAAACCAAAACTTTTTTTTTTACATTCCAGGACACAATATTTTTAAAAACTTTTTATTCCCCTTATCCCGTCAACAAATATGTTGATTAAAAAAAAATTTCCCACCTACTGACTCAATAATTTTATCCTGAGAGGGCAAGCAAACTTTTCTTTTTAAAGAAGGCCTAAATAAAAGTAAAGGGCACCTAAATTAGGAACAGCAAACTCTGACTCTCCTGGGTGAATGTCAAGGTCAGTTGTGGAGGACGAATTTCCGTCATCATTATCCTCATCTTCAGGAGAAGTAACTTTTAGGTTCCCAGCTAGAACATATAATGAAAGAAATAAGTAACTCAACAGTGAGTGAACTGAGTGAACAGAAAATGACAAATTAGCCCAAGTGACTCGACAAGTTTAGAATTTCATGATACAAGTTCACTTATAAATTGTATAAAATAGAGAATAACATGGTATACTACTAGTATATTTTACTTCAAATACAATATAAAACTGAAAGACAAAGTGTACTTTAACATTTAATTTAAAGAAACATATAATAATTTAAAATATATTTATAACTACAAAATTTTAATACAGCTTATAACTAATTGTATATTAATTTTATATCAGAAAAGACAATAGATGTATTATAAATGTATGCTTTGAAGTGAGAATATGAGTATTATGCATCTTTTACCTTTATTTTCTTTTGATGACAAAACATTTTCAGAAATTTCATCAATAAAGTTTTCAGACGTGTCCTGCACTTCCACCTTTTCTTTATGATGAGCACCAGTTTCACAGTCATCCCTAAATACTTCCTCAGTTTCCTGGTTCCCTCCTCCATTTTTAGAAGTTCTTACACCTGCTTCTTCAGTAAAATTCTTTTCTATGTAGTTCAATTGAGTCTTTCTATTCTTTGGAGATTCACCTACCCCTTTCAGACTTTTAACTCCATTCTGATTCTGTGAACTAATGAAGATCACATCCTGATTAAACGAAACAATCTTTTTATTTTTTGAGACACTATCATGCTCTTCCTCTGCACCATTTTCTTCCTCAGTCAGGTGATCAATCACTTCCTGTGTAGAGGTCACCAGGTCATAACTTTCTGCTTGACTGATTTTGTCTCTCATTTCCTTCAGAGCCTCTTCTTCATCTTTCTGCCTCTGTAAAGCTTTTGGAGACAGTTTCTTCTTCTTCCCTTCAGCACCCTCCCCTCCTCTTCCACTCATCCCCTCTTTTAAGTCATCACCATTTGCCTTTTTCAGAATAGATTTTCCACTTTTCCTGCTCAACATGTTCTGAACTTCTACACTGATCTGACCTTCCTTTCTCTTGTCATCTCTCGCCTTTGCCTTTCTCCTGTGGACTTTTGGCTTGACTGGAGTCACCTGGCTCGACTTGAACTCGTATGGATCCGAGTCGTTACCAAAGGTATTCAGATCCAGTTCCCTTAGTTTCAAACTCTCCTTCTGAGTGATCACAGCTCTGTCTTTAGGTTTGAGCGGCTTCACTCCCATAACTTGATCAATTCCTAAGACCGATTTGGGTTGAATTTTTTTGAAGAGAAATTTTCCTTTGGTTTGTTTAACTGAAGTTTCCAAATGTTTATCGTTTCTCGTTGTCTTGAAGATTTTGTGTGCCACTTGTCCCCCCTTTTCTGTTTGTGATTTGCTTGTGGGAGGAAGGTTATCTGAACAGAGAGAGAGAGAAGTTGAGGCAGTTTCACTATGTCTCGGATTTTTGTCACTTGTGTCTGCATGTTCCTTATCCACAATTGATTCTGGTATACTGGAATCACAAGACACTAGCTCAAATTCTTCTTCATCCTCTATGAAATTCTCACCATTATCTCCAGAATTACTTGACTGTTCCAAGCTGCCTCCATGTAGGACTTTATCTGACTCTTGAAAATAAAAACAGAATGTGAGGGAGCAATGAAGGCTATTAATTTACTTCCTGCTGTTATGTAATGTATGTACATTAACAATATCATTCTATGAAAATTAATTTTATCTGCAAAAAATTAAAGTTGCAACTGTATACTCATAATTTGAACCTATTTTTTGAAAACAAGTGTAATGTGCATATAATTATGAAGCAATGTCAACTGAGAAAATTGGTATATATCTTTCGTAACTAATATAAAAAAAAATAAATGCATTATTTATGTTAAGAGGTTGTACTTAAGACATACAAAATTTTAGCAGTTAAATACATTTCTTATGTTCATGGAAATAATACACATACATTTTACATACATAATTTCACCTTTTTTAGCATTTTTGAACTCTCATTGACTTCTGCCAATTTACAAGTCTGTGCTCTGTCATGAAAAAAAAACCAAACAAACATATTAGTGATAATTACCTTGTGAATCACCTGGAACTTTCCCATGTACATCATTACTGGTGAGCCAGTCCTTCACTTTGGATACACTCCTGACATTTCTATGACTGACAAACTGCTTGTCATAGGTTCGAGTCACTGTCGCAACATGGGGCGTACTCTCTGGCAAGGAGCTAAGTTCAGAATGACCTTGACTTTCAGAATGACCTTGAACTTGTTCATCATCATCATTGAAGTCTATTTCATCACTGTCCTCTTTATAATTCTTTTTATTTTGGGCTCTGAGATGTCTTTCAGAATTCAGGTTTCCTGCTGTTCTGGCCATTTTTTCTCCTTCTGGTCCGGACACCAGTGAAGTACTTCTAGTTCTTTTTTCTCTTGATTTCAGATTTGTATCTCCTAGCTCTTTCTTTTCTTTAGTTAATTCTTTGGGGTTGGCTTTTCCAGACACACCCATTTCTTCATCTTTCTCTGGTCCTGACAAATGTGAAATACTTTTAGTTCTTCCTTTCAAATTTATATTCCCTGGTTTTGTGTTACCTTTAGTTAGAGCTTTGGGGTTGGTGCATGATGGATCGCCTTTTTCAGACAAAGTTCCACCAGCATCAGACTTGAGACAGGACAAAATCAGACCACTTTTTGATTCCTCTTGGTTTTCTTTCTCTTTGTTGATTCTGTGGTTTAAAGCTGTATTAATAACATGTTGGTCTGTTTCTAAACCATCAGCTGTTTCATTTATAATATCAGTTTCTGTGTTATCTTGAGTAGATTCCATGACCTCTGGGGTCAGGTCCGATTTCCGCCTCTTGCTTTGTCGAACATTACTTTTCCCAGCTGTTCCCTGTTTGGAATCATTAAATTTATAAAGCAATCATTTAATCAGTGTTCAATGTATCATGTTTACAAGCATATTTTACTAATCAAATCATAAGACACCTTTGTAGCTTTTACCTTTTTTTCACTAACAGAAATTTTTCTTTTTGTCCCCTTGGCCTCTTTGCGAGGCAGCTGCTCAGGGGTACAGGACAGGAGATTGGCAGAGGAGGAGGCCCGAGGAGGGGAACCTGACAAAAATAAAATACGCTGTAATCTAAAATTTATACAGACTAGAGCATGTCTTGTTTTAAAAGTCCTAGCACAAAACAACAAAATATCCAAACTTAAGAAAAGTGTGAATACAAATTTTATACTACTGTATCAAAGATCACAAGATTAATAATTTTTTTAAGTGGATGATCCATGCATGTACTGATCAGTTAAATTTGATTCAGTAAATTATTTTAAGTGATTATTATCTTATGACAGACTAGAAATGGCCAGTATGTTTCAAAATTCATTGACCATTCATCTTAATTAGCAAAATATTTAAAATCTAGAAAACAGTGTTTTATATATGAATTTTATATATGAATTGCAGTCTTCACAAAACTCACTGGTCCAAAGACCGAGGCCAGTGAATTTTGATGTCGGGTCAGTGAAAATCAAAATTCAAGAAGTCCGATGGCAGAGCTCCAGATAAGGTGCGTATTTGCAGAAATACGCATTAAATTTTACAAAATACGCATTGAAAATAAAAAAACAGCGTACAATTACGCATTAGCAATCATAGATATGCATTACACCATAAAAGTACTGCGTACAAGTTGAAGAATACAGGTACGACTTACTTAATGATACGAATAGAGGTGTTTGATTTTTCTCAAAATGAAGTACAGATTTAAAAGCCTTTTAGTGACCAGGAATATTCTAGTAATGACGACGATGATCTCCATTTCGGGAGGAAGAATCGGAGATTTAGATTAAAATCATTTTCCATGTAGAGAGACTATGCACTAGGCATAACCTTTTTTGTTTTGGGTTCATAGCCAATTTTTCATCTCTCTCAGCTTACCATATTAACGAAGATTCTTTCAGTTTACTCTTGATACGATATCTTAAATGAAGGAAAATTTATCTGTGTCTCTGACAGTGTACCTTGACCTACTGTATAATCTTCCTTGTCAAAAAAGAATGCTTCCCAATCTTAGTCAAAAGTCTTGTTGTTATTTACAAAATTTATTTAAATAAATACAGAAACTGACCTTTGAAGTTTTTTCCCTCTTCAAAAACTCAAACTTCGATTACAAGCTCAAAATAAAGGCCAAAACATTTCTATATAAACAAAATACTCTTCAATCATTTTGCTGAAAACCAAAATCTGCTTTGATTTGAAAATCAGGGAGTAAATACACTTTGGGGTAAAAATTTATCTGGAGCTCTGCGATGGGCTTGTTGATTATAAAAATCATACACAGTCAATATATATCTTAACTGACTTACTTGCATAAATTTCATTGATATATAATGTAAAAAGAACAAGCACGTGTTGTTGAATCGTAGTATTGTAACCCTATTATAACATGGATGTATTATGTAACAACCGGAACTAGCTAGTAACTATTAACTAGTACGTAAAATGTGCGAATTTCCAACAAACAACTAACCGAAACGCGACAAAGGACGGAAAATGGCGGCATTCAAAAATTGAAGTACATAAACATGTATAAATTTACAGTTATGAAAATGTATTTATTTCATTTTTTAATTAAGGGGCCAGTAAAAATTTTGGTGGGCCAGTAAATTTTGAAAGTTCACTGGTCTGACTGGCCAGTTAGTTTGAAAAGTTTTCGTGAAGACTGGAATTATCTACAACATCCCTCTATAAGAGATAACGTTCACAACCTACATTTCTGTCCAGTGTCTTTTGAGAAAGCCCCCATTAACCGGCGGACATTTTCCACAATGTTTGACAGCTGGGGACGATCATTTAGGCTTCTACAAAAATGAAACAAAGGCCATGCAATATCATTACTGACTGAATTTATCCTACATTTAATTCTAGTAAATCCAAATCAAAACAACAAAAAAACAAAAACAAACAGAAAAAAAGAAACATGTGACTGTATAACAAAATATGGCATCATATGAGGTAAAATCAGCAGTGAACAAATAAATACAATAGTTTCAAGTAGACAAACCGTTTTGTGATTGGGCATTTACAAAGTGGACAAGGCACGGAGGTTTTTGTCTTCAGGAATTCAGTGATGCAGAACCTACAATATATAACCAGTGATATACATGTATTTCAATGTTTACTCCAATATTGATTTGCACAAGTTTTTCCCTTGCAAATAAACGCAGAATGTATGCATCAAATTCAGAAGTTATAAACAACATTAACAACTAATAAATATATATCTAAACAGCCCTGAGCACTAAACTAAGGTATGGTTTAGATCAGAAAAAAGAGTATCTTGTCAGTGGGCTTATTGCAAATCACACTTATTTACCTGCAAAATGGATGATCACACTTTGTGGATACTGGGTTTGTCAGCAAATCTAAGCTGAAAATTAGAATAAATAATGTTAGCTTCATAAATGTGTGTTCTGTACAGTGCTGTAGTCTAGTACTCTGGTGAGTACTAAAACTAGTTACAGCTGAACTTTGGTACATGTATCTTGAACACTGATATCTCAAATACCATAGATACGTCGCAGCGGTTTTTTTCCTCATATAACTGATACCGATAAACGGCACCATTCCCAATGCCAAAAACATTACTATTTCCCAATTTTATGACCAAAAATTCCCAATTCAACTGTGAAGCAACAGACTACGACAACAACGTATTTCTTTTTAAATGAAACATAGTACAAGTTGACTAATTGTTTCACTTCCGCTTAAATTGATAGTAGAGAAAGTGGTAATTTGGCGGGACCTGTGGTGTAAACAGCGTAGTGTCATACATTTTGACAAAATGAAAGCATGAAAATGTGAAAACACGGGACATTGATAAAAGAATCAATATAAGTACTTCCTGCTTATTCTTTAAAATACGTATTTATAGGTGATTAAGATGGAATAAGCGCAAAATACGTTTTATTTCTTTAAATGAGACAAAATTCTCATTGTTCTTCTTCGATGTTATTTTTCGCAATTGAACGGTACCGGACCTTTTCCCAATGATAGGCAAAAAATTACTGTGTCAAAGTGACTTTGAAGTCCCAAGTGATTTTACCTATGGTATTCAGTCCCATTCAGTTCAAGATAATGAGTTTTAACTGTACTACTCAACAAAACATAAATTATCTACTGATTTGACAATAAATTCATGCACAGCTGGACGAAAAGTGTTAGATTTTAAGTGCTCCAACCTTTCCTCAAATTATCAGCACTATCATCAGGTCTAGTACAATCACTAGATTTAGCTACTTAGCTTGATTTACCTACTTAGCTTTATTTAGTTATATTTACCTACCTGAAGTAGCTTAATTAGCTACCAGATCAATTTATATCTATAAAAATTATTTTTCTCGGAATGTGCAAAAAATCCCAATTTGATGCAGTGATTATTTTCAACTTTGAACTCATCTGAAAACAATTCATGAAAAAATCACTCTTGAAGAAATGTCTTTTTCTGCGCAATTGCAATCAAAGTTCTGAAAGTTTTGGGGCTATGTATGACAGTTAGAACAGTTACTCCTGGAATGTAATGACAAAGAAGTCCAGTTCTGGTTGACATGATAATAGGTCGGTAATTATTCAGCACAATGTGAAGTGATCATACTCAGCCATGCCTCACCGCACCTCACCGTATGGTCAGATAACCAAACAATGGAATTACATGTTTTGCTCTAAATTGTCCAAATGCAGCAATGTATAAACTATCTCTCTTTGGGTTGTTTTTTTAAAACCTCCCTAGTATAAATATTAATAGTCATTGAATTGCGACTTTTTTCTCTTTTTCATAAAAAGAAAAACTGAAAAGTTGCATTGAAATAGCTAAATAAAGCTATCTGAGGTACCGTCCCGTCATATGTTTTCGTGGTATATACGTTTTCGTGGTATTTTTTATTTTTAGGAATAATCCCACAATGCGAGATCGGAATGACGTCATATTTGCTATTAATAAAGGGGAACACTGTGCATGTTTTATGACCAAATGTTAAACCTTTTTACCTTTGCCAAAATAAAATATAGCGAGTGAGTTATGCATAGTTCGCAAATTTGACAATTTGCGTATTATAAGCTTATTCGTCGTGTTTTGAACCAGAATATCAAACTTACAAACTAATAGCCGGCGATCCTGCATATCATCGTCTGTTAACTATCCATACAGCTTCCGGTCATGTGACAATAAAATGGAATTTCCCACTTTTGATATTTTTTTTACGGTGATCTAGTAACGTCATTTTTTATATAATTTTCAATGAAAATATCTGGGGTGTTAAAAAGTTATATGCTAAAATAAATTTTATGCCATTGATAATTAATTGAATTAAACATTTAATTTCTTTAAGTAAACATAGAATTTATATTTCAAAACATGAAACATTAAAATAAATATTTATAAATTATTTCTAGGCCACTCTTGAGAAAGAGAAATTTTTTACATTATTTAGCAATACAGCGTAGGCACGACTAGATAGATGTGGTCTTAATTAACAACAAATAAATTTCCATGTCAAATAATGTAATCATTTTGTCAATAAACTAGTATTTTTGACTCTGTAAAATTTATAAGGATTTTGCCCGACTAGATTTCCATAGTTTGCTTGTTTTATAAATACCACGAAAACATATGACGTCAGCAAAAAAATTGAAAGAGCAACTACGCAAGAATTCAATGACCTTCTGAACAAATAACAAATGATATGCGAGTTAAAATCATTTCAAAATAAGGAGAGTTATTGTTTGTATATGTGATAAATAGCAAACATCTCAATTATTCAGTCTTGAAGCACTTTATTACAAATTAAACGTAATGCCACGAAAACTCATGATTCGAGGGTAGGTAAATAAAGCTACGTAGGTAATTCTACCTGCGTAACTAAATCTAGTGATTGTACTGGACCTGATCATGACTATACACATGTAGTTCAAATATTTGTTGATCTTGTCACATGCAGACATGTTCGTAAATTTGTGTATTTTAAATATACACAATCTGCTGAAAAATTTTCTTTTAGAAAGCAAAATCAAGCTTCTTTGCATAGCTGCTTACTTAAGACTTAGGAGGTAATTCAGAATTTTTTTTATAAAGAATTACGTTTCAACCTTTGAGCTGTAAATAGCTTAATTCTTACCAAATGGAACATTCTAAATTTTTCTGCATGAGACCCAGTATATCTTGGATAGACTTCGTTCTTGAATCCATTCTTAAACAGAACTGTCAATTATTTTTAGTAAAACAGTTATTCCCTGAAATATATTTCTCGATTTCATAACCCATATCTCCCGCTTTCGCGCCTTTCCTTGTTTCCAAACATTAGAGAGCATTCTAGATAAGTCGTACCATAAGAGGGTATGGACGATGTAAAAGTAGACTCCACGGGCCTCTGCGCTTTGACATATTGAATGAAGAAAAATAACAAATACCTAGAAGCAGGGACATAAACATTAAAAGCTACTTTGCGTCAATACCATCATACAAATCCGAGCAGTTTTTATTTATGTTTTTAAAAAGCTGATATTTTTATGAATAAAAAGATAACGATGATTGATTTAAAACAAACAAACAAACAATGAGGAAGGATCAGGTGCCTAAGAGGAGTAAACTTCCCCTGTCGGTTACACCCGCAGTGAAGCCTGTGTATTTGATTTATGGGAAAACAGAACATTCTGTAGTAAAATAAGTACAAAACCAAAGCCACCTAATATATCAGAATAAAGTTTTCCGTTATAATAAGACCCAAGGAATGATAGAATTTACGAAAAGCTGACTTTAAACGAGGTTTAACTTGTTGAAACTAGCTATCTGGTTATCTGTCACTAGTTAGCTTGTATCGGTTTAAAAAATGATATCGTTAAGTATGTAGTGTTTGCCCTTTCCGTCCGTCTGTTTAATTGTGAGTGTCTGTTCAAGTTGTTTGCCTGTTTGTCCGCAAAAAATATGGATTGGTTTCGGCTATGGTTTTCATACTTTAAAAGATTTTTTTTTTCTTGTGACAAAACCTTTCTTTGCGTACCAATATATTTGACATCTTGACCTTGACTTTACAGTTTGACCAACATTTTCAATACTGTATTTTTTTAAATAATCTTTAACCATAACTTTTGAATGGTTGATGCTATAGGTTTTCCATAATTCACACGTATATTTCTTGTGAAAAGACTTTTCATTGAGTTCAGATACATGTATTTTTATGTTTTGACCTTGACATAGGAGTTTGGCCTACTTTTCTTTTAACCAGAGCCTCAACCTTGGCAATATTTTTTGTAAAGTATATTTTTTGACAAGCCTATCCCTTGGGTACCGTCAATTTTGACACTTTGACCTTGGAGTTTGGCATACTTGAGAAAAACTTAAACCTTGGCCATAAATTTTGAATGGCTTATATAACATGCGTATTTCTTGTGACAATTCCTTCCTTACAATTTTGACCCTTAAAGTTTGGAATACTTTTTGAAAAAAACCTAATTTTGACCAAGTCTTCCGAACACTTGATTTTAGGGCTCTCAAATCAAACGTGTATTCTTTGCAATTTTGACAAGACCTCCTCTTGGGCAATATTAGTTTTGACCTTTGACATTGCATTTAGTGGTTGACCTACTTTTGAAAAAAAATAAACATCGGTCATACTTATTGAAAGGTTTTTGCTACAACTTTCTTATCTCATGCACGGATGTTTTTCTAGTGAAAAGACCTCTCTTAGCTTTTCTTTGCAATTTGGTGTGGTTATTTTTTATGTTTTTACCTTTGCCTTAGATTTTGACCACAGGCACATTACAAATGGATGGTGCCCCCCTTTAAAGTATTTTTATTAGGCATGATAATTTATCCAAAATCCTGTCTATTATAAGGGGGGGGGGAGGGGAGGTAGCACCATTCATTCCCCAGGTGCCTGTTGTTTGACTTGCATTTGAGAAACAATGAGCTGCCATACTCGAGAATCAGTGTTGCACAATCACATCTTGTTTTGTTTATTTATTTCAACTTGTCACAATTAACGTCCAAACATTGTTCCATGTATTTTAACATACATTTCTCGCTATGTAAATAACCTACTTAATTGCCATAACTGTGTTCCGTAATATTTTATCTGTTCAGTAGAATTTACTTGGCGGGTTTTAAATCCCGTGCTGTTATGTGGTCAGTTTGGGTGTAGCAATTGAGTAGAGCAGACGTACTTGACTTTCTCGAGTATTTCAGTGTCTTCTGTATAATGATATAGTATATTTGACTAGACTTGACAGATCTCTTCTGATATCGCAAATTGGTCCAGGAAGCCATTCCATCCAAACAGCATACCAGTCCAGAACTTTTTATTATGTATTAAACCAAATAAATGTGATGAATTTAAAGAACTTAGTCCTTGTCAGCTTGTATTCCTTTTGTGTGGCGACCAATCGGCCCGCCTGCGACACAACTCAAGGTTTTAAAATTTTTTTAAAGTAGTCTCTTAAATTTTGAAATAATTTTTAAATTAATTAAAATTGTTAAAAGATACAGACACCATGTAGCCATAGTTAAAGTACATGTATGTACACTGTACTAGCTTACGACAAGTACTTACTGCACCAGTTAAGTTCATTTAGGTCAAATTCAAATCAAAATCTATCAATGATGTAATAGTTCTGTCTCCCCCGCACTCCCACACACGGAAGAAGAGGTTGATATATAGTTATAAGAATCCATATGCAAAGAAATAGTCGACTTTCTTTACGAAACGCACCCTTACAAAAATCACAGATTCAAAGGAAAAGTCTGCAATATTCATTCCCATAAATTTAAAATAAAAGACGGTCTTTTTCATCCAGTGTTTAGAGATTTTGTCAGCTGATATCGAAGTGGCTGATAATGAAAAAAAATCATGGACAATTTCATTCAATTAAAAAAAAAAAATCTGTAAGAAAGGCCGCGCTACATCACATTGCGTGGTAAATAGATTTTGAATCAATGTTTATGAAATAGTGCGATGAGAAATATGATAAGAGAGAAAATGCTTACGATGTGCAAAATAATTGTGAACATCTTGAACACAATATTAAAGCTGGAGGAATTAAGTCATGAAAAATGGTTTTGTCGATACCATCTTTGTTTCTTTGACTATCAACACTGTCTAAAATTGAAAAGTCGAATAAAGATTAACAAAAAATATTACATGACCTATAGGACAGAACATTTTTTTTTTTCGGAAAATGTCACATTTAAATATCTGTGTTATTTTTATGATAAATATGCCTGAAAATTGGTGATTGAGTTATTAAATCAATGTTCTAAAAAAAAAAAATCTAAAACGTTTTGAAAGTTGAAATTTAGAAGTATGAATTAAGCTAATTTCAAAATATCAAAATGCGGAAAATTGCTTTGAATTTAAGACTCAACATTAACCAAAACCGTTTCAGGAAATTTGAATTTTGAATATTTAAGGTAAAAATCTTAAAAATCAAAATTTCACAACCTGTTTGGAAATTTGAAAATTTAGGGCTTTGAACTAAATTTTGATATCCGAAATCAGTTTGGGTTTTTGAAATTTGATCTGATATAAAACTCAAAATTATTATAGACATTTGAAGGATTGTTAAGTGTTACACATTGTACATGTATATTCAATATTAAATCAAGATAGACGCATGATGTAGGTCTTAGGATTATAAACTCTCTGCAGCAGAACTTGAAATTTATTTTTCTCGATGATAAATATGCAGGATTTTTTGCACAACGTCATGGAAACATATGTTCATCCGTAGGAGTTCATGAATTTATCCATATACGTTTCAAGGGATCGAGTACAACTTCAAATTCAAAGACATTTTTATGCCATTATTTCGAATTATTTTGTGATTTCTTCGTAATCCTGTAGTTTGGATTATATAAAATGTTACGATGCTGCTGCACTTCGATAGAAAATCCCAGGGACACCATTTTCTCGGGTCTTGTGACGTCTTTGACGGCTGAAGATGAAGTCAGTGAACACTCTTCTAATCGTACTTACTTTGGTAAGTTGATAGATTTTCGCAATTGATTTTCGTTCTGTCTTATAAATGTTTGTTCAATATGAAATGATTTCAAACTTTGCTTGAAACTGAAAGTAGAAAATTGCTCACTGCATGCATAAAATAATAAGCTTCTAAATTGTGCATCGTTTACCATTAAGAATCTTTCATGTACAGTGATTTCATGACGATTTTTATTCATATTGTTTATTTTTAACAAGAGGCCCATGGGCCACATCGCTCATCTGAGTAACTTAATTGGTAATGCCGTTCTTTACCAGATTTCTTCCTTGTAATACCTATTGTGGCCTCGCCGTACCCTCCCCCCCCCCACATGTCACAATTTTTACAATTTAGAATCTACAGGAAGCTTGCAATTAAGTTTCAGCTTTTCTGGCCCAGTGGTTATGGACGAGAAGAATTTAAAAGTTTTTTCCTGTATATTTCTAAGTTAAAAAATTGGATTACCTATTGTGGCCCCGCCCATCCCCCGGGGGTCATGATTTAAACAGTTTAGTATTTACATGTACACTACCCAAGGATGCTTCCACATAAGTTTAAGATTTTCTTGCTCAGTGGTTCTTGAGAAGAAGATTTTAAAAGCTTTTCCTATATATTTCTAAGTAAAAATTCGATTACCTATTGTGGCCCCGCCCATCTCCCGGGGGTCATGATTTTAACAATTTAGTATTTACACTACCCAAGGATGCTTCCACATAAGTTTCAGATTTTTTTGCTCAGTGGTTCTTGACAAGAAGTTTCTTTGGGTGCCTCCTTTCAAAAACGATGTTTCCTCAAACTTTGAAAATTTGTTCCCTCTAAAATAAGTGGTTTTACAGCAAGCATCAAAAGCAAAGTTATCAGACGGGGAAACGTTGGTGGGGGTCAGGGATTAGTGGGGGGTTTGAGTTCTTCGAAATTTTTTGAAGTGCAGGAAATAGGACTTCGGTTTTCTCCGTGTTCGTCACTTTCTTTTATATATAGTTGGCATAGTTGATGTCATATGGATTCTACAGTATGTCGAACGCTTTTGTCCTTTGCCCTTCAGAGGTCTTCGAAAAGACAGTCACTATATGAATCGGTCTTTTCCTTGCTTGTAACTCTGCCATCAGCAGTCACGTGACATATGAAATTTCTACGACTATAGAAATTATCCCAACTATTTCTGCAGATCTTTACATTTCGAAGCTTGTATATTGTAGTCCTAGTTAAGATTCT